GTGCCAGGGCCCTGGAGGAATCCACGGACTTCTAAGAAAAGGCTTCCCAAGAGGAGCCATTGAGAACAGGGCCAATAGTCAGGGATGGTGTGTGCAGAGGAATGCTGGAGCCACTGGCACAGGGTAGAAGACAGAAGAGTGAGGGACCCCAGGGCATCCAAGGCAGGAGTCAGGGTGAAGCCGGAAGCTGAGCTGGGGGAAGTGGGATCTACTTCCCCCATTAATGTGTTCATTAATGTCTGAGCTCTGCCTTGTTTCTTTTACTCAACAACTGAGCAGATGGAAGGAAACTGAGGCTCAGACAGGGCGAGCAGGTCTCACAGCCTATGAGTGGTGCCGCTCAAATCTCTGCTGCAGAGAGATCGGGCACACAGTCGCCCCGCACTAGATGGCCTACGGCTGCATGAGCTATGGCATGTTGCGGAGCAAGAGTGCCCTAGTGTATGCAGAGCCCAGGACCAGCAGTTGCTTCTTCCTTTGGCTCTTGTCTCCCCAGTAACCGCGTGCCCGCCGTGTGGCCCCGGCTGGTGGCGCTGCACTCCGATCGTCTTCAAGTACTGCAGCTGTATCCCCAGGGTTCTGTGCCGGGACCATGTGCAGCACTGCTCTGATTGGTCAGACGAGTACGCCTGTTCTGGACCCTGAGAGAGCCTCCCTCCGCATCGCAGCGTGGAAGCTGGCACCAGGAACCTTTCACCAGAGCATCAAACCCTAGACCACAAGGGCAGGAAGGAGCCTTTGACGTCATCCAGTGACATCTCCCCATTGTCTCTAAACAGGAATTAGCTTTCTCGTTTCTAGTGTCTCAGCCTCTACTTCAGCACCTCCGCTAACAAGGAGCTCACTGTCGTGTTAGACAGCTTCTAGCAATGAGGTGAGTCTGCCGCCATCATTTTATGCTCCTTGGCCTGAAGGTCCCAGTCTTATCACCGTTTGGCGAGACAGACAAATAAATGTGTGACTTAAATGTCAAGCAGAGGCATTTAGCTCCCATGGATAGAAAAGGAAGCACACACATTTACCATCCATTTGGTGCCTGAGACAGAACTGCTGAGCTCCAAGGCCACTGTAGCATGTTGTTCAACTCACCAGCAGCCCCCAGCTGACCACGTGGGACTGTTCATGGTATTCCTCTAGCTCCCCAGTTTCCTGGAGGCTTGTGACTGTAGAATGGGGGGCCTGGAGAGAAGATCCGTGCCTTCAGCCTTGGCCCCGCTGCACCCCACACTCACCTGCGGGTTTATATTTTGGTCCTGAAGCCAGAGTGAGCCATCCCCCTGCATTCCTTCTAGCTTCATAGTGCCTAGGCAGGCAAGGATGGATGTACTCATTAGACAGATAAGGAAATTGAGGCCCAGGGAATGACTTGCCCAGGATTGACGCTGGAACTGGGACTTAAAGTCAGTCTGTGGAGCTCTAACCTTAGCGCCTTTCTCACACATTGGCGGGGGGTGGGGGGCCTGTGTACAGGGGATGGGTATTAAAGAGGTAGCTTGACTGGGCGGTAGTGGTGCGTGCTTTTAATCCCAGTACTCGGAGGAACAGGCAGGTAGGTAGATCTCTATGAGTACAAGGAGCCAGTCTGGTCTACAGAGTGAGATTCAGGACAGCCAGAGCAATTACACAGAGAGACGCTGTCTCAAAAAAAAAAAGGTAGCTTGAGGGATCAAAAGTAACTTTTCCTAATCCTGAAAGAGAGATTTGGGGTCTGGCTATGGAAGGGCCTCATTGAAAGACACAGAGGTAGCCCACTAGAAGCTAATAAAACTGATTTTCTATGTTAGGGTCTTACAAGGTTTGAAAATGGCACCCAAGGAGTCGGTGAGCTCTGGCCATTCATTCATTCTTCCACTAATTTGTGCATTCATTCAGCCATTTCTGAACAAAGTTGGGAGTTGAGCCCCCAGAAAAGAGGCCTGGGTCCCAGCCCGTGAGCAGTGTGAGGCCTTGTGGGAAGTCCACGTTGCACCATGCAGGGATGAGTGAGACAGCAGGGAATGCTGGGCCCCAGTGATCCTGCTTGAGGGATGGTTAGCCTCAGCTTGACCCTTCAGTTGGGTTTCTCGGCAGAAGGTAGGGGCTATCTTTAGGAGGAAGGGCATTCCATGCTTAGCACAGGTGAGCCTGTGACGGTTCTCCTCAACCATGGACAGTCCAACAGGCTGGGGTGGCCAAAGCACGGGCATATATGGAAAGAAAAGATCGTCACTTCATAAGAATTCCAGAAACTCAGAAGAGCAAAAGAAAATCAATTTAGTTTATAATCTTGTAAGGCATCAACCCAACCCAGAATGGCAGGTTTGCCCCGTGCGTACAGAGAGTGTCTATAAACCCTAATGCATGACCCTCCCTCCCTTTTGTGACTAATCGGGAGGGCACAGTCCCTCAGCCATCGTGGTCCCACCTGCCCCTCTCGCCTTTGCATTTGTCTTTTTCTCAACAAAAACCTTGCACGTGTTCATCTGTTTTATATCCTGTTTATTTTAAGGCTTATCAGATGTGTTCAGGTAAGCTTGGCTATGAGTAATTTTCTATTCTAAACTTGTAGTATGGATGTGGGCGTAGCTTAGCAGAGTTTGGGTAAGGGTATGAAGAGTAGCAGGCATCAGCAGAGGGCCAGCATCTTCTGTTCAGTTTATGCTGGGCCTCAGTTGGCTCAAGTCACCTTCGAAAATGAATCATTAGATTTTCATATGGGGGGTAGGGGGCAGACACAGTAGCGGGCAGAGGGTTGGATCAATACACCCAGTGTCTCAGTTCATCCCGCAGGCCGGGGGATGACACAGGGGAGATTAAGTCAGGAATGTGGGCTGCTTTAAGAGTGGCAGACAGCGGTGGCACGTGCCTCCAATAACAACACTCAGGAGGCAGAGATAGGCGAATCTCCGAGTTTAAAGCCAGTCTGATCTGGGACAGCCATGGCTACACAGAGAAACCCTGTCTCGAAAAACAAAATAAAATAAAATAAAATAAAATAAAATCTGTCTTTTGGTGTCTCAGGAGGTAGTGAGTTAAGGGCTTCCTGTGGAAGTAGGATGTCCTGGGCTTGGTTTTCGGCAGTCACATGCAGGGCAGGTGTTGGGTGGCAGATGTGTGCAGAGACAGGCAGGCCCTGGGGACTGACTGGCCGTCAGTCGACCTGATGAACTCTGGCTCAGTGGGAGACCCTTTCTCAGGGAAGGTAGAGTTACAGTGAGATGGCTCAGCAGGAAAAGGCTCCTGCTGCCAAGCCCGATAACGCGGGTTTGATTCCTAGGCCCCACAAGGAGGGAACAAACAAAGAGAGACAGAAGGGACTGGTCCTCTGCTGACATGTGCGTCCACACAGCACCCCCCCACCCCAAAATAAAATAAATGGAAATATAAATAAGGTGGAGAATGATTAATGAAGACACCCCATGTCAACTTCTGGCCTCCATATGTGCATGCACGGATGGACACACACATACAAATACACACACATACACTCATGCACACATGCACCACACACAATAAATTAATTAAAACCTGTCAGAAAGAAGCACGCAGCTTGCTGAACACCGTGGCATGGAGGACAAAGCAGATGGGGTAGCGTGACATTTGTGGACCCTGTCACTGTTGTGCCATCTCAGGAGATCTGTGGAGGCTGACCAATCCAAATGGGGGCCCCAGCAGGGCCTTGGAGAGGACACAGCCCAGTAGGAGGCAGGGAAAGGTGGACGGGTGGGTGTTGGCAGGAGCAGGGCATGGGCAGGGCCGTCTGTACCTGGCTGCTGGAGGAGCATGGTAGGCTTAGTGCCTGGAATGTGCAGAGCAGCCTAGGGGCTGGCTTTGGAGAAGAGTCATGGCTTCAGGCCACAGCTTGTTTTCAGAGGAAGATTACATTGGATTTCTTCATGTGAAGAGGACTTTAAAGCAGCCTGGGGAATAAGGATCAGCCCTGGCTACTGTGCAGGCTCACTGAGAGGAGGTACATTTGTACAGGTTCATGCAGAAGACTGGGGTGCCCAGATGGACCTGTGGCTCTCCTGAGCATCAGTGGTGGGGGTCTGTGAGCATCTCACCCTGTCACTGTCGCTCCTGAAAGCCCCTATCAGCCTATCTCAACATTCTCACTCTATCTCCACCCGACCGCGACTCCTGGATTCACACTGCCCAGTTGTTCACACTGCCCAGAGGCACAGAGAGATGGAGTTGCTTGCCTAAAACCACACAGCTTTCAAGAGCCAGGGGTTCCAGGTTCTCAGGCCCTAGTCCAGAGGCTGCTGTAACCCTCCTGAAACCTTGCTCTCTCAGCCAGGTGGGAAACTGGAACCTGGCAGGCACCACAGAACATGTGCCGGAGGTGGCTGCTTCCTTTCTTGTTTATTGGTCCTTCCCTTCATAAAGGAGAAGGTGCCATAGCCACCACCCAAACAATCTTCTGTAAGATATTCCAGGAAGATACAGGCCTGGGGCCTGGGCCAAGCTGATCCGCCCCTGGCGCCAGGCCGCAGAACAGCCAGAAGAGACAGCTCAACAGCCAGTGCCAATATTTGCCCTGGCCCCGCCTCCCTGGCCCCAGCCCCAAGATCAAGGCTCTAAAGACAACAGGTTCTTTGCTGTGCAAACACGAAGGGCTAGATGAATGGAACTTAAAGTGGCTCCAGCTGGGCCCCAGGGCTTGGGTTGAAATCTGCTCTGGGTTAGCTGTTCGCCGTCTCTGTTTGCCGGGGCTCTGCTTTCATCCTTGAGCTCACAGAACCACATTGGCTAGAGCCAGCAAGAGGCTCAGGCAGGCTTTGGACAACAGAGGACACTGCCTCCCAGAGAGGACAGGGATTGGCTGCATTGACTGGTGACCGGCATGGGGTTCTGACGCCACACTAATTCCAGAACTCACTTTGTATTCAAGTCTGGCATGTGTCTTTACACCACACGCACACACACACACACACACACACACACACACACACACCACATACACACACACACACACACACACACCACACACACACACACACACACACACACACACACACACACACACGGGGAGGGGGGACAGGACAGGAGATCCTGCCTCAAAAACTTGAACAATGATTAGTTATAGCTTCAAAACTTTTGCATTTGGGAACTCTCTCTCTCTCTCTCTCTCTCTTCCTCTCTCTCCCTCTCTCCCCCTCTTTCCCCCTTTCCCTCTCTCTCTCCCTTCTGAAACACAATCTTGCCGTGTTGCTTTGTCTGGCCTTGAGCTCACAGCCTTCCTGACTCAGCCCAAATACAGGGAATACAGGCATGTTCCACCAAGCCCGCGGGGCACTGTTCAGGAGGATAGTACTTATTGAACATGAGCACTACAATTCCTCAATGATGAACCTGAGGTTGGTTAGGTGGCTCAGTGAGATAAACGTGCTTGTTCCCAAGTCTGAAGATCTGAGTTCCATCCCTCGATCTCATATGGTAGAAGGAGAGAACTGATTCAAACTAAATGTCCTCTGCTCTCCAGAGTTTGAGAGCATGAGCCTGTACACATGCATGCAGTAGCCTGTGCGTGTACGTGCGTATACACGTGCACCCAAATAAGTAAATAAGACACTAAAGAATTGTCAGTTCATAATAAAATGTATTTGTAGCCGGGCAGTGGTGACACATATCTTTAATTTCAACACTCAGGAGGCAGAAGCAGGCAGATCTCTGATCGTTGTGAGTTCAAGGCCAGCCTGGTCTATAGAGTGAGTTCTAGGACAGCCAGGGCTACACAGTAAAACTTTGTCTCGAAAACAAACAAACAAAAGACGTATTTGTAACAGTTAAAACAGAAAACCCTTTATGAAGTGCTATAAGAATATGCAATATTCCATAGGGTTAGTGTAGATTTCTTTCAAAGCATGAAAAGTGTTCAAGTATGTGTGAAAAAAGCTTTATAAGAAAAGTTTTTAATTTTAGTGTTTAAACTTTTTAAAATTTTAATGTACGTAGAGTTTTTCCTGTAGAAGTCTCTCACCTCCTTGATTAGGTATATTCCTTGGTATCTTTTTGAAGTTATTGTAAATGAGGTGGGGTTTGTCCCCTGATTTTTTTTTTCTTGGCAAGTTTGACATTGGCATACAGAAAAGCTACGGGCTTTGCCTCTTTGTTGAGATGTTTTAGGGCAGGCGTTACTCTTAAATATAGGACCATGTCACCTGGGATAGGGTTACTTTTACTTCCTCCTCCTCCCCTGGTGGGAACCTTTTGTTCCTTTCTCTAGTCTTACCCATCTAGCTAAAGACTTTGAACTCCGCGTTAGATAGGAGTGAAGGAACGAGCGCTCTAGTTTGGCTCCAGATCTGGGGAGAACAAACTTCTCAACTTTTTTTCACCATTGAGAACAATACACAGTTTTCCTCAGGCTGAGACATAGTCCTCCTTTTCCTTTATCCTGAAGGGATGGTGAAACTTTGTTGAAGGACTTTTCTGCATCAACTGAGACAATCATGTGACTTTTCTTTACATTTCTTTATTTTGTATGTGTGAGTACACTTAAGTGTAACACCCATGCATGTGC